TATATATATATAAAATCTGGGATGTCTCTGGAAGGCCCAGATGTCAAAGCTCAGACCAATTGGGAGGTGGTAGAACTTTAAAAGGTGGTGTCTAGGAGACTCTTAGGCCACTGGTATGTGGCTTTGAAGGGGACAATGGGTTCTGCTCTCTTTCTCTCTTCCTCCCCATTTCCCAGTCATGTGGAAAGCAGTTTTACTGTCTTCAGTGTATTCTCTATGAATTGCAGGTAATTTGAAAGGGCCCAATGATTATAAATCTCCTTTCTTCTAACTGAACGGGTAGCTTTTCAAAAGTCACTATTACTTACCAGAGCTTAAGTATAGAATTTTTATTGAAGTTTGACAACTATGCAAGATGAAAAGTTAATTGCAACGTTGCTTAGTTCTCATCGTTCAAATACCCAGATGGTATAATTAATCCCAAAGTGAATCATTGATGTCTATCACCCTGTGGTAGTTATGGGTAGTGATGTTAAGTATTTTTTATATTTCATATAGTAAGAATTTTTCTATCCTAAATATGTATCTGAAAGCATAACATTAGCCCCTTCTGATGATAAAATACATATCTATTCATGTTTTTTGATTCATTTTTTATTTTTATTTTACGTGTGTGAGTGTTTTGCCTACATGTGTGTAAGTGCACCCATGTCATGCAGTGCCCATGGAGGTCAGAAGAAGGTGTCAGATCCCCTGGAACTGGAGGTACAGACAGTTGTGCTGGGAATTGAACCCAAGTCTTCTGCAAGAGTAATTAGTACTCTTAATTGCCGAGCCATCTCTCCAGCCCTCATGTTATATTTTTATGCAAATTGATTTCAATGAATGAAATGAAGCACACTGGAAAGGGTTAGGATTGGACCAGCATGGAGTTTACCATGCCAGGGACCTTACAGGACACATTGCATTTTCTACACAATGTAAAGAAAGAATCATTCTCACAAAGTCCTTTCTTTCTTCCCTTGGAATTTCTATCCCTGTGAATTATCTTTGCTTTATAATGCTGCACTACATTTTATTCCAAAGGAACCACACCAGGGATGCTCAATAAATACAGCTGGCACAAGATCAAGATAGGTTTCTTAGAACAATCTCCACTTAACAATTCACAACAATAACTACTAATCTCTAATCCTTCAGTTGGTGAATAGTGCTGCTAAGACAGGCTGAAATCCAGTAGAAATGCATGTTGACCAAGAGCCATGATCAGTCACAAATCTATTTATCTCAGTTGTATTAATTATTATAATCATACAATAAAATTAAACATTGTAGAAGCCGATTTGAGGGGCTGGGGATGTGGTTCAGTTTGTGGCTAGTGTGCTTTGATCCCCGATGGCCATAATCCTAACATAGTGGTTCGTGTCTGCTATTCTAGCACTCAAGAGGTGGAGGCAAGAAAATCAGACCTTGTCACAAGACAAAGGAAGAGGAGGAGGAGGAGGAGGAGGAGGAAGGGGGGAGGGGGAGAGAAAGGATTTCTGTAGGTGTGTATCTATGTTTTATTAGCATGAAGATACAATGTTATGTCTTTGAAAATATTCTTTGTGATTATTGTTACTAAGGACATAAAGAAACAAAACGTTCAGGTTGTGAATGCATCCACATGAGATGAGGCTGGTGCCACTCAACTCCACAAGCACGGAGGCTCCTGAATTGGTGATCCTTTCAGGTCTTGCTATATGTATCCTGTTTGTGGAGGAGGAGGAGGAGGAGGAGGAGGAAGAGGAACTGGTTTAATATGTATGTCCAAATAAAGAAAAATGATTCGGGGCGGGGGGGACTTACCCTTTTGGAAAAATTTGCTAAGGCTGACACAGAGACTGCACTGCTTGCTGCCAATAGGCTTGACACAACATGAAATGATTAGGAAAAAATAGACTTTTAAACCTTAAAAGCTTTAGCTCTCAAATTGTTTTTAAATCCAGGAGCCTATTGAAATAAATTGAACCTTGCTTATGGATGAGGTGACAGAGGTATTGTCTATGAAAGCAACAGTCCATGAAACTCCAATCTGCAGATATACAGGGGGGAAAGCCTTCACTCTAAGTAAAAAAGAACAACTTTTTATTTCATATAAAGGTTCCAGAGACATATAAATGGTACATTATGATTCTTTACTGTGACCAGCTTTCTCATTTTTCCAACCACTACTGAATAGCATCAAATAAAATATGAGAACATCATTGCATTATCTTAGGATACCCCCCAAATAATCACTGAGTAATATAAAAGCCTTATTTAAGTTAACCTGGAAAGCATAGTAATAATTTCTGTTATCATTAATTTTTGATGCTGTACTAAGACCTCCTTGCACAGCAACCAAGTATCACAAGAGAGCCACCATACAAGCAATATGTCGAAGCAATCTTTTCCTATCACCTGAGGCCTAGGACAGGAGAAGAACAGAGCCTCAGTCCATCTTCTGTGCACAATGCCAGGAAATCTCCTTCCTCACAGAAGGAAAATAAATTTTCCCCAAGCAGATAATTGAATCACTAGAAACACATAAATTCCCAAGATAAGTGCCGCAAGGACAATGAATGGAGAGAACACTGTGCCCTGAAAGACAAATTCCACAGTTAGTCAATATCTCTAAGAAGATGATAGAAACTAATCATCATCTTGAGGCCTAAAGATGCCTCATTCATTCTCTGTAAGTGAACACAATAGCCCATTATAGACACCGGGACTATGTGGAAGAGCTGGAGTTACCAAACAGTGAATTCTCAGCTTCTCATATTGACTAACTTGTTTTTCTGGATTCCACCTTGGGCTCACCTTAATACCCAACTCTCTGGCCTAATCAGGCCAGTTTGGAAAAAACAGCTCTGTGTTCGCTGTTGACAAAACAAGCTGAGTTATGTGGCGATATCTAAGCATAAAAGGACCCCTGTGTCCTAGCTTCCATAGAAGTCACCTTACCCCGAGCAAGTCACCATGACCAGCCAGTCTCAGGGGATTCAACAGCTCCTGCAGGCAGAGAAAAGGGCCAAGGACAAACTCGAGGAAGCCAAGAAGAGTAAGTCTCACCTGTGAGGGTTTGGACAGAAAATGCAGCAGAGTGAGGGAGAGGAGCAGCGGAAGCTGCCTCGTCAGGCAGACCTGAGTTTAAACTCTGGTGTAGCTTGGCTCCCTATGAAAGATTAGCCATCCATAGGAACTGTCCAGTCATGGTTCCCCACTGCTACAGCTGGGAGCAAGTTTTCTAACTCAGATCGTTTTGAAAGGCCATGTGCTAAATGAACAGTGGGTAGGCTATGGACACGTGGGCTTAGGCCTGATTCTGTGCTTTCCTTCCTGCTGACACACCTTGGTTTTCACAATATTGTGAAATGGTTAAGCAATAGACAATGCCGAGATTGAATCTACTTACTCATCCTTTGTAAGCCTCAGTTTACAGTTCTATAAAATTGGGATAATGTTTAATAAACCTCACTGTCTTCCCTGTCTTGACAGCTTTTAAATTCCAGATTTTTCAATGTTTCCGTTTTAGTTTCATAGCCATCCTGCATCTGTGTATTTGCATGTGAATATCCTCAATAAATGTCAACTCTCTTCCTGCTCTCACTGATAGTCACAATATGAAGAAGGCCTTATTATTTCATGTATGCAAAAACAGGGGATTTATGATTTTCTCAGGGTTATATTTTAAAAATAGAAAATAAGGTGCCAGCCACCGTGCTCAATATTTGTTTTGTTGACTCTTCACAATGACCTTTGTGGAAGGAGAGGAATTGATGCTGAGAGGCATCACACAGTTTATTCAAGGTCATACAGAGGGAACTTGGTAGAGATAGGAACTGGATCAGGTCTGACACCTCAGCAAGCTCCTAATCGATGCAGTATAGGAAATTTACATAATTTTTATACATGTTGCCAATCTACATCTTAAATTTTGCTTTGCTAAGGCCAGATCTATATTTTTCCAGTTATATTTCATATCACAACACAATTTAATTTATAATCATTTGTACTGTCATTCATCTTCATTGTGATTTTTTTTTTTTTGCCATATGTCTGCAAATAGATTCAAAATCTGATAGAAAGGGGATATGTCCTCACAAGTGTTGCTTATGTAACTTCTTAGAGGACAGAGAAGAAACCAGGTGGCACTATTCTGTCCTCTGGGGTTTCCAGTCAGGGTAAAACCATTGCCTTGTGATAAATGGATTTCCTCAACACCCAGTTACATGAGCAGCAGCAACACAAAAGAAGACCCCAAGTGGGGTGACCACCACAGGGAAGGAGAAAGGTACTGAGGGCACGCCCTAGCTACAGCCCAGCTTCCTGTCCTGAAATGAGTCATGCAAGCAATTGTAAGATGGCATGAACACAACAATTTTATGGAAAACCAAGGAGTCCAGAACCTGCCCATTCAAATGGTCTAGAGAACTCTAATGTCTTCTACTCAGATTTCTTTAGTCACATTTAAAACTTCTGGAAGATCAAAATATTGCAAGATGTGATAATTATGGTGCCTTTGTTTCTCATGATTGAAGAAACAAAAGGACAATAGTGAATTCAAGCAAAATCAATATCGTCACATAATTCAGACTCATCTTGCTGACTGTCTCATTTCAAGGTCATTAGAGAGGAAATGCTGCTAATCATACAAGTTGCTTGTGGGTGGGAGCCGCCGAAGGCACTGTGCTTTCCAGCCCATAATGAGGATACACCAAACTTCTTTCTCTTTAGAAAGCGTGCTTTTCTCAGGTTACCTTTCCTTAGAAATCGCTGTGGAAAATATGTATTTTATTATTTTTGTACAAAATGTCCAGTTTCACTGATAACTTTGTACATATATTATGTATATATATACACTTATATGTATACACATTACTATACCGTATCTTAGCTCATGATTATTCAGTGAGACTAATCAATAATAGTAAATAGCTCAAGTTTTAAAGCATTTTTGAAAATATTTTGACCATTAGCCACTCCTGAACTCAGATTTGTAAAGCATGTCAGTGTGTCCTCTTTAATCGTAAAGAGGCTGGAGGACAATTTGCACTGGACACAGGTTGTTTTTTTCCCAAGCTGTCAGCAGGTGGCAGTTTAGTTACAACAGCACCCATCCTACTCAGTTCTTCAGTATTCCTTGGCAAAAGGAAACTGTTACCTTAGGTACCTAGTATAGTATAACTTCCTCATGGTTCAGCAGTTTTCATTTCATTCGTTCAACTCAGTAAAAATGCATTGGGTGCCAACTACTTCTAAGCCATGTTGGAACAACCTGATGAACAGACCTAACTCTTCCTTATTGAAATAATCGTGAGTTAAGTGTAAAATTAATGCCTGTTTTTTAAAGAAATGAAATAGTGACAGACAGACATATGGCCATCATTTTAACAAACTCTTCATAAAAATGTTCAATTGTAAATTTGACATATAGTCAGAATAGAGAGTCAAACTAAGAACCATAATAAACTACTCTCTCTTAAATCCATTTATTTGAAAGTCAGAAACTCAGTTTATTTCAGTAGGACTGGTGAGCATACATTTACAAAAGAAAAGGAAGAAAGAAAGAAAGAAAGAAAGAAAGGGAAGGAAGAAAGGAAGGAAGGAAGGAAGGAAGAAAGAAAGGAAGGAGAGAGGGAGGAAAGGAGGGAGGGAGGGGAAGGAAAGAAAAGGAGAGAAAGAAAGAGAGAGAAAAGGGAGGGCAGGAAAAGGCAGCGGGGGGGTGGTGGTGGTGGTGAAACTAATCATTATTTTTAGAAAAGTCCTACAGGACCAAGGCAGTAGTATGTATCAGTTAAGCTGTTACATATTAATTGTTAATCTGGTTTGTTAAGGAAGACTCCCTCAGATTCCAGTAAAATGGTTCCGTAACAGTACGTAATATAAATGCCTGGAGACTCACAGATTAAGGACAGTAGACCTGATGAATCAGGAATTCTCCTAAGAGGCAAGGGGTCTATAGAAATGGAACAGGTCAGTCCCTGCTCTCACAGGCCTCACTGGCTACCAACACAGACTTGAGGACAGTGGGCAGGGGTGTGGATAGGACTGAAAAGTCAGGTTGTGAGACAGCAGAGAATAAAAGTCCACTTGAGTTAAACATCTATATTACTTGATAAAAATGATTTAGCATCTCTGAGCTTTAGTTGTCAAAAAAATAAAACCAAGTTATATAGCCATCTGTACCTCTCTCTAATCTATCATCTCTCTAGCAATTGAGATGTTTAAAGGCTAAGAAAAATATATGTAAATTTGACTGCAAACTGAATATGAATATGTAGGGTTATTTTGTTTATAATGCACACTGTAGATATATATTACTCTAAGTGGTAACAATAGGAGCATCATGGTACAGAGTGGAGTAAAAAGCCTGATTTCACTCCTTTTCACCCCTGAAATTCTGGGTCTACATCTCTTACACCGAGGAGACCAACAGAAGACTAGAGAAGTTAGCTACGTGCCTGTGGTCACTGAATACAGCTCAAGGCATATCCCTTAAGACTCTCACAAGCATTTTTACCTGCTAGGCAACCTCACTGCAGGTTGATGGAGTCAAGGATTTACAGTTCTTTAAATGATCTTACCTGCAGTTAAGATTTTTGCTCAGTGGATAATTTATTAATCAAAACAGAGGCAATTTGTTGTTCTAAGACAAGTTACATTTTTACAAGGGAGTGTCATAGACATGCCCTGGAGGTCCACGTCTCAGTATTGAACTGCAGCTTCAGTCAGAGCTAAATTAGAAATCTAAGGTACCAGCATCAAGAGGAGGAACAGACACTTGTCCTTCTCTGAAATACGTGGTGATTTCATTAGATCTACACCCACTGAAAATGAGAAAGCCCTGGAACACTGCATTAACACTGCTCAGCTGAAATGCTCACAGGCATGAAGCCCCACATCATATTCTTGAATCATTTTCTAACATGTGTCATAACCTTTTTCACAAACGAACACACTCGACTCACCTGCTTTTCAAACTATAGAAAAAAGGAATCTGTGCTAAAGTTAAAAGTATAAATTGCATTATAGGATATAGTTCAAAAGATACGTAAAATGTAAAACTTTTAGTCTTTATGTGAGAAAATTTGCCCCTGGAGTTCTAGACTATTAGACCACAAGCAAAGGACACCCCCTCCTGCTCAGTCCTCCCTGCCTGGGGCTGCCCTGCCAGGTGGGTATCTCACTCCTGCTTCCTACTGGCTACATGACCCCAGGCGGTCACCTCTGTTGATTTCTTTCATCTCAGAATATCGATCTACTAATTCATGGAGTGTTCAACTGAGTTAACACTTATAAATGATTAAGGTCTCTGCTTAGCACATAACAGAGTCTCAGTAAAATTGTCTATTAATATCCCTCCAAATAATAAACAGAATTCCATTTCAGAAAACATCAAAATGGCATTTTTAATAGTTTCAAAAGCATAATCTTCTATGACCGGAATCTCTCACTGAATTACTCTGATGCAAAATGTATTCAAGAAATAACTCGGCTGTCTGCTTAGACGACATCAGCTAATATAATCCTTCGGTGTAGTTTTTATGGGTATATCACCTGTCAGTTTTTTAAGCTAGTAAATCACCTATTTGTTTCCAAATCTGCAGATAATCAGGATCATTTAAGCCAGCACCTTTATTTAATTAAGTCTTCACTTAGCAAGCAGATGTTTTAGTTCATGAAGACATGTCTTTTAATAAACTAATAAAGTAAAGTTCTTATATTAGAATTTCATGACCCTGTCTTAAATGTTTTCAGGCCTATACAAACTTCTTCTTTCTTTATATCCAGACTAGCAGAGTATTTGTAGTATGCTGCTCTTTCACATCTTTGAGTGGGTCATATTAAAATATACAATACTTTTGACTGGTAATAGCATTTGGTTACATTTAATCCAGGATCTGTGCAAAAAGGTTGTAAAAGGGAAAATGTAACTAAAGGAAAAGTACATTAAATCATCAAGGAAAATGGACACAAAGGGAAATAGAGTCAGAGAGGGGCTCTCAGGAGCACTCACAATGACCAAAGGCAGGCTGCTGTGGTGTGTGTGTGTGTTTGTGTGTGTGTGTGTGTGTGTTGTTGTTGTTGTTGTTGTTGTTAGTGTTGTTGTTGTTGTTGTTGTTTTATTCCTAGTGACTTTTCTCTTTTTCCAATGTTTTAAATAACTGAGGAAATCACGGCATGATTTAAATCAGGTAGATTCCATCATTGACAAGCTCCAAAAAGCAAAAACATTTTTAAAACAGAACCAAAGATGTTAGCCACAGAAATATCCAGACATTCCCAGATCATCTTTTGTTTTCATAGCCAACCATGATAGCCTCTGCTGTGTTTCTGTCAAATGGCACCTTCATTTGGAAAGCAATACTTCCCACTTGACTCCAGTACCTAGCTTTGCCTCTAGTACACAACTGGATTGCTGTTATCCTATCCACTGTTCTGCATTAGTTTCCTAGGACTGCTGTAACAAATCACCACAGACTGGGTATCTTTAAACAACAGAAACTTATTACCTTAGAGTCTTTAAGGCCAGAAGTCCAGAATCAAATTTCTAGACCAGATGAATCTTCTGGAATCAACGAAAGAGAAGCCAGGGCATGCCTCCCTCTTAGCGACTGGTGGTGTCAGCACACTTTGTTACTCCTTGGCTCATACCTGCATCATTCTAACCCCTGCCTCTATGAGCATTTGTCCTTCTTCCCCTGTGCTCCTGCTCTGTCTCTGTATCTCCTTCTCAAATCTCTCCTTGCAATATCACCACCCATCAAATTTAAGATCCCTTTTAATCTGGTACAACCTCAACTTTGCTTGACACATCTATATAGACTCTTTCAAAATAAAGGCAAAT